ATATTAAATAGTAATGAGAACAATGTGTTGCTGGAAGTTTTAGAGCTCAGATTGAGGAACTCATTCTTATGCACATTACACAGTTGCTACTGTTATCTGTTTTTTTGCATTGATTTTTGCTCTGGCAACCTTGCTCCTGGAAAGGGATTACAATGGAGTCATTTGTCAGCAGTGTGCAAGTAAAGTATATCTGTCTACATTCAATCATACCAATGCAAGTAGTTATAACTAATCAGGACGTCTTGAACACTCAGTTGTCCCCATCTCTTTAATATGGAGTCATGCGACATAAAGTAACCTTTGTAACACATTTCATTAATGCAGAATTTCTAAGGAAGATGATCTGTTGTTTCCTCTGTTGTATAAATAAGGATCGATACTGAGAATGCAACATTTAAAAAAAAATCTTAGTCAAACACTTTTTATGTTTCCAGAAAGTTTAACTTCCACTTTACATCTAACATAGTATTTATGGATATATGTGTGAGTCCAATTTGTGTGACTCGGCAGATATCTATTCAAACTGCCAGCTTAAGTTATTCCCCATGTGCTGAGCTCTAATTTTAAATGAAGTGCTAAATATACAGACAGTTTCCAAGCCAAAAGCAGAGATAGCTGCGTCATTGTGTCTATCAGAGCAGAGTCAACCCCTGGAAAAAGTCAGAGCGTGGAACATTCCAGGCCCAAAACCTTGTTGATGCTACCATCTGCTGGCCGCTGCAGCAGAACAGGAGGAGGTCTCCATGGCGACGTCAGGTGACATTGTTGGATAATTTGGATAGGCAAGTAGGTCGAGTGATCCTGATAAAGGCATCATTGTAAAACCAGGTCACAGGGAAGCAGACAGACCTACAATATTTAAAGCTTCATGGCTGTAAAGCTGCAATAAATGATGATGTGATCCAAACACTCACAGTGGTTGTATTTCCTGTTAATGCTTGTCTTCGTTTGCTCCACCTTTTGCTCCAAAAGTCACTTAATTAGTTTGAAAGCAAAATTATTGAAACCCTTTTAAAATTCCCAATAAATGTAATAGTTTGTCTAGGACCCCATCACGCCGTTCTCTTATTCTTCTTGTACTACTGTACCCTCAATTAAAATAACTGAAAAATGTTGCAAAGCAATGCCAAATTTCGACAAACACACAGAAAGTAACCAATAAATAGAGAAGGATTACAATTTATGTGTGAATTGAACACTCAAACCCGCTTCTCCCTCTTTGAACTAGAAAGATCCAGCCTCTTCCCTACAACATCCACAAGATGGTGCCACTGATCAAAGTAATCTTCTAGGGGATATCTCCAAGTGTGTTGGCTGTGGGCGTTTTTTTTCATTGCTGCACTTTAAATTACCTTCAAAGAACAAAATGGAAAACATGAAAGAAATAATTGATCCCAAGGACAACATTATTATGAATCCCAACTGGAAGAAATTTTATATGCCAATCTAATTGTACAGAAAATGGAAAAACAAACTTTAACTTGTACTACAAGATGTAAGAAAGCTAATATAACTGGATTTCTGAACAGCTTAGTGGACCATTTCAGCCCTGGGTCTCAGGCCAAACTCAATGAAACACGATGGGACATGCTCACTTGATAACCTCACTGAACTGTGTGGTGGTAAATACTGCATTAGAAAAACTGCAGGTGTATTGTAAATATTTTACAGCCTCACATTTCATAAAAAATGTATTGCGCAAACGACTTGTTATAGTCAGCAAGTAAATATGCCCTGAATAATAAAACTACTTTTTGTGGTCAATTTAGTGCAGTTCATGCGTAAGTTGTCAATGCCGACTCCCTCCTGAATGTCAAAGGTCATCATAGAGTTTTTGGGCTGAACTCTAGCCAGAGCCAACATGTCAAATATACACACCATAATAGATCAAACTTTTTTTTATTACTTCTTAGCACACAAACATCGGAACCTGAGATATAATAAACAGAAAACTGAGAGTCGTATAACACGCTTAAAAAAGTTCAGCAAAAGTGGGGGAGTGTTTTATCTGTCCACAACACTATCTCTGGTGTTTTATTTAAGTTGTACTTCATGTAAACATCAGGAAGACAAGAAGTCCCACCGGTATGATCATAGCCTGTGTACAGTATGACTCTGTTGGATACTTGCAGAGAAGCAGAACCAATAAAGCAACACCAAAACATTATTCCTCACTTATTGATTACCATCCAAACCAAGTATAATTAGAGCGTCAGCGACCCAAACCTAAACATCTGCTTTGTATTTTGGCCTGCTGGTTGTTAGGTCCTCTCTGATCACATTTAGTTGTCTTGGCTCTGAAGAGACTGATAACGTAATGCTTTTAGCTAAAATATCTCCGAAGTGACTGTATGAAATCTCAGGCATTGCTGTTATTTTCTGTGAAAGAGGCAAAAAGAAAGCTGTGACCACACCAGCTATTAGATCATCTTTAAGGAAACATGTTGACAAAAGGAGAAACTATTTGGGGAGGTGCGCTTATGCACAGTGAACATTCTCAGAATTTACTCACTGCTGATCAGATCTCAGTTTTCAGTGATCAGTTTTTTGTTGCTCCCCCTTGTTGAGTTGTTCAGTACACTGACTTTCTAAGCCTCAGTAGACTGTAGTCTGTCCTGGGCATACTGTATGCAAAGTCTGGAGAGTATTTAAAGGACCAGTGTGTAGGATTTAACGGTATCTAGTGGTGAAGTCGAAGATTGTTACCATTTCAGTACAGCTCAGCCTTCCAAGCGTGTGTGAGAAACTACAGTGGCTGTAAAAAAAGTGAAAGGCTATTTCTAGAACCAGTGTTTAATTGTCTGAACTGGGCTACGGTAGAAACATATATTAATTTCTGCCTATGTACTCTTAAATGTTACACACTGGAGCTTTAATAAAAAAATGCACCAAGGCAGTAGTTTCACATTTGGGGAAATACATTTCTTTAAGAAATTGGACAACAACCAATACACGATTTGTTAAGTTACTTAGTATGTTGTACTTTAAATATGTTTGTTGACCCTGAATGAAGATTGTTATATTGTATGTTTGTTAAAATCCCTCCCTTTTCTTTATTCCCGTTACGATTTTAGTGCAGTAAATATTTATTAGATGAAACAAATGTATTTTCTTCTAGTTGTCCCACATCAACAAATCTCTACGCATCTAACAGAGTGTGTTCCCCTAATTTAGAAAACCTATGATTTAGTGTAATTAAAGTGATGAGAATGTCAGGTTCTTTGTTAATTAAATATCAATCATTTTAATTAAATCAGTCCTTGATCACTGAGGCAGACTATTGGATCTGAATTGAATAAGCAAAGTGGGAAAGGGCAATTCAATCATAATGGCTTAATTTGCTTGAGGCCAATGAAAGCCAGCATTTATTGTGAAGAAACAGTGTCTACTTTCGGCCACAAATTATGAGGCTTAATATCAACAATAACACAGGATGGGTTGTATAAAGCTCTTTTTTTCTGTGGTGCCCCTGCTGCCACATGTGCTCTTTTTCAACATGTGCTGGCCCGATTTATTTACAGTAGAAAAGACAAACTTGCCATGCTTATTTGTTTTACTGTTTGTACAGTAAACACACATCTTCTAGACAGGAGTGAGAGACCAGTTTGAGAGAGTTGTTAAAAGTGCATGAATGACCAAAATATTGCTTTATTTCTCATGAATATATTTGTATACACAATACATTTGTTTTTTTATTGTATGTTGGCTAGCACAGAGCACTCCACACTAGTGATCACTAGTGATCTTTTTACAATGACAGGCACATGGTGTACAGCACAGTAAAGTATTTAAATCAAGGCATTAACATTTGACTATGAAATGCTTTATAAAGCACACTAAAATACTGCTGAAAAAAACAATGATTTGTGGATGAGCACTTACATAATAATATGACAGATATCCATCCACTTCTTACACAGCTTCCATTGATGCGTCTTTCGCTATTTAACACATCTGTGGCTCTGATTCATGCTTATAGTCTACTTACAATCTGTCATACATGTGTACATGGTATCTGCAAAATAAAACTAAAAAATCAAGGGTATTTAATTCATTTTGTTTTTTTTTCCCCCCCTTTCCCAAAAAAAAAAATTTTTTTTTTTTTTATATATATATATATATATATTTTTTTTTAAAAAACCTGATAATGGAATGGATTAATTTTAGCTCAAAGAGATAACAGTTTAACCCCAGGGCTGCAAATTAGACAGGGAAGAGAATAAGCCACAGCTGCTCTTCCCTCTACAGTTACAATATTGATGATGACTTGTTTGTTGACATTGACATGGCCTGTTGATAATGGCAACAGAGTCTGTCTGTCTATTCAGCTTTTACTGAATACCAAAGGGGAAATTAAATAACTTTTGAAAATGTGTGTGTTTCCATTCACTCTTATTATTACATCATATTTTATATTTCTGTTGAGTCCATTATGAGCCAGATTTTGGCTTGGCATCACTTAAGCTTACTCTTACGGAAGCCTTATCTGTATTAATAATGGTGTCAGGGAATGTCATGGCAGTTTTTGTTTTGCATGAGACTGTGAATCTTCCTGGATAATGACCATGTATATGTATGTAATCCTGCATGTGTGTGACAGCTCGTTTGCATTTCTGTGTTATTTCTGGGTTTCTGTTTGTGTGTGTGTGTGTGTGTGTGTGTGTGTGTGTGTGTGTGTGTGATGGTGAGGATGCATGTTGACAATGTGTCTGCTGGCACACATTTTGTGTGTGTCTGTGTGTACACTGCTGTGTTCCAGCTGTCTGAGTGAATGAGGCTCAGTGGGCGAACAAACACTGCAGCAAATGTCACTCTCACACACACACACATACACACACACACACCACATGGAATAGCTGTGGGGTCTGTACTATAATAGGGAGCGTCTGTGAGCATTGACTCAGCAGGGGTTTGATAAGCCTACATATCACAACTTTAAAGTGATGTGCTTTAAAAATGAAGACTAGTGGAAAGATTTCAGGACATATTGCCCACACACATTGTATATCCCAAGTTTGTCATCTTGGTTCATTTATTAAACTTTTTTTATTTTATTTTTTCAATCTTCCAACACATTTAACAAGTGTATAGCATTTTTAGAAAACAACAGAAGACAAAAATCAGAACCTCAGCTTTTTCCTGCTTATTAACTGATTGAGCTGCCTTTTGAAGTGTTTCACCACAATATTTATTACTCTGTATCATATTAATTTGTAAAATGTATTAGCTTAATGCATGAGAATAATAAACAAATTACCAGCGTCGGGAAATTTTAAATAACATTATACTGCTAAGTCTTGAACACTCCATCTCATTGTGTAACCATCACAGCTTCCTCTCCTTCAGATCCTGAGTGGTTGGGGAAAACATCCCAGGACAGAGTTAAAAAGATGAGACAGGGGATTTCAGCCACCCAGCTTATTAAAATACAATCTCATAGACTTTCCTCTAAAGGCTGACTGGGTGGCAGTCACACATGAGTCCCTCTATTCTGGGCATTTCCCCATATAGTAGAGAACATTCAATAATATACACAGTAAAATTTGTATACTAAAACTGTGTGAGTTATTAAAACTCATTTGACATTTAGCTCAAATTAAATCATATTCCCACTGGATTTTTCCCCCTTTCTACTCTAGACACAAGACTCTCAGCCTCTTTCCTTCCCAATAAATATCCTTTCAGTGATAAAAAGACTAACAGCAATATACAACCGTTAAATGTCAAGGTTTCAAATGTCCCAAATCACGATGCAGTTGTGGTTGCAAACGTGGCTAAAAATGTGGCAAACTGCGTAAAATGTGAGGCAGATGTATGTGTGTTAATAAAACTGTTACAGGATCCTTCAGTTTTAACAGCTGGCAGTGAAGTCTGTAGAAAAATATATAACAACCCATCTTGAGAGTTTAGTGTCAACTGTTCAGCAGTTAAACATAACAACTGCGTGCAAGCTTGTGGCCAGTTGTGACCTTTTTTTATTATTGTGTTATACTGATCTTAAATGTGTGAGAACAACACTTAAAAGTACTCCATGACCTCTAGATTTTCACAGCCTCTGCACTTTTCTAATTTTATCTACCTCAACACTTTATAGCTGAATGTCATGCAGGCAGAGAACAACCTGAGACCTTCACATGCAAAATCCAAACAATATCAGAAGGCATCAGTGTAGTCCATTAACTTCCATTAAGCTCCCTCATCGTGTATAGGACCTCTGCCAATTGTAAATGGCATGGATATTATGGGAACACGCTGGCATTCGTTTACATGTACTGACGCTGCGGTGGCGGAAAACCCTCCCTCCTGCGCCTCCCCCCAGCCCTCTCCTTCTTGCGGCGAGCTGCTTTGCTCTCTCCTCAGCAGCGAAGAAGTCTGTGGTCGCCCTGAAGAATTCCAACAGAGCTTTGTGGCTCCAGTTGGTCCCACGGCTCCCCACCCCACTGGTCGGCACAACCGCAGGACTGACTGCACCAAATGCACCAGGGGCACTCCCATCAGACTGGGTGGAGAAACCACAGTGACCTCCACGGTCAGTTAGGAGGAGAAAAAAATGTGGATTTGTCTCAAAGAGTTCCAAGGGCACCGTGGATTGGGTGTCGCCGCGGACAGGGTCATCCTGAGCGCACATGCTCAAGACAGGAATAGCCACTTCGTCCACATCTCTCAAGGGTTCGTTGCGCTCCCAGTAAGAATCCCAGGCACCTGAAGTAATGCTGCTACTGCTGGTTCCTGCTGGTGCTGCTGGTGCAGAGCCCACATGTCCAGTCTGACAGAACAATGACTCCTCAAGGCCACGGAGGGAACAGCTAGAAAACAGAGTGTCTGTTTGTATGGTCTCACCCAGCACTGTCTTGTACCTGTGCATATCATCCGAGTACACACACACACACACACACACATAAAATAGAACACAGACACAAACATACAGATAAACGGAGACATCAGAGAAAACCAGTAAATCAATTTTGAAGAGCTGCATGGGTCTCATATTCCCTTTGTGGCATTGATTCCAGAAACTTTACCTGGGTCACGATGTCTCTCAGAATCAATGACTTGACACTGAGTAGACAATCTGTTGCTACAGTAACTTGATTGTTTCCTTAATTGTCTGTGCCTTTCCAGTAAATGGTTAGTGAGTACTTGCATCTGTTTTTCTTACAATCTCTTTCAACCCTGTCTCCCTTTTTGGCTGATTTGTTTCAGTGACTGATTTTATATTTTTCATCATTTTCTTCACACTGTATGAAATATTCCCACAGTAAACTGAAAACATAAGAAAAGGACCTGTTTATTTCTTTCTTTTTCTTTTCTTTTTAATTTTGCTTGAAACTCATGCATCATGTTGCAAAATGATGGGATTTGTCTGTACTGCACATCTGCACCCATAAATCCACTGCAGACCTTTCGATATATAATGTATTTGCTATTGTCATTAAAGTAAAAATTCCAGTTTCATACAATGTTATTTTTGTAGTTCTGGCCATTACTCCTGTTAATAAGTACTCAGGTTAATTGCTGACATCTGGGATTGCAGTTTTTTATCAAACTCACAGGTTAGCTAAACATTTTTATGGTTCAGCTCTGACTGACCCTTCTTGCCTTAGTTGTGTATGCACATATTTTTCTTGTGTCAGGAGGGATTCCTGTAGACATTTCAGGTGCGCTCACATTTGTTCTTTCCTCCAGTCTTTCTAAATCTGACTTATAACCTGTCTGATCCTCTGATAGCTTGTGGTTTTTGCATTGTCAGATTTTGTTGTAGTGATGTTGCTGTTATCCCAGATTTCAGCATTCATTACATAGGTGAGTACAATGTTATCATAACCAATAGAAATGAAGGCCAAAACTATGAAAATAAGGTGCAAGTTGTAATGAACCAGAATCATCCTTACAAAGTTACCATTTTGCCAACCCATTCCTCAATATCTAACCTATGGCAGCATGTTTGCCTCCCTCCTCCCTCCGTACCTGCTGAGACATATCTTCTGGTAGAGCACCAACGCCCACTGCAGGGGCCAGCACAGCCCATTCTCAAACCAGCTCTGACAGCGGAACACGGGCGACAGACAGACGGCCGCCGTCACATAGCTGGATGATCCACACTCCCCAAGGTAAGACAGGAGAAGACCTGACCCGGTGCTCTCGCTCACTGCATACAGTCTCCCTGCAGGCTGTCGGTAGCGAATGTAGCGCACAGCCTCACGCAGATCTGCAGGGTCACCAAACTGCTGCAGTTTGAGGGTGGTGAGCGGGGTACCGTTGTGACTGCGGCGGTTGAAAACTGCCGGAAGGTAGCCCTGGGACAGTGCTGTTTCACACAACTGTGGAGAGAGGGGGTAGAAAAAATTAATAAAAAAATGTCCATGTTTCTTCAAAAATGTGTTATGGATTGGGAGCATTATTTCTTTCACCTTTTTCACTCAAAAGAAGATGGGAAAGGTTTTAATCCATTTATGTAACCTTACAGCAAAAGGACATGACGTATACAATGTATTTACACATGCTATGCCTAGATAAAGAAAAAGAAATCCTCTTTTTTGTTCCTCTGGACAGGCCACATGGTGGAATTAGTGCGGCCTGGTCTCTTGGTCATAATACCTCTGACTTACACAATGCCTCCTTTTAGAAATCAGTTTCCATTTTGTTCCACTAAATGTCTTTGCAGTTGTAACACCTGAAAATGAATGCTACTACTACTTTTTATTGTATGGAAAAAGAAATAACCAGTTGCTTGGAGACGTGAGAACACAGTAAAACTTCAGGATTAAGTGTTGCTCCCTTTCACTGTGTTTACGTGTACACTGCAGTTCGACAGAATCGGTCCATCTGACACCACTCCATTAAAAAATAACACAATGAACATTTAGCTATTGCATGCTCACAGTTTCAGTTTAGTTATAGTTTTTGTTATTTCAAACAGTTGAGGAGCCAAACATATTAGCCTACTTAGTAAAAGAGTTTTGAACAGATGCATCCCAAGATTTGGCCCTCAACAATGCAGCCCTAATAAGTGGCCTCTACTTGGTGATTATTATTATTTCACAGAAACATCAATTTATTTTACAATGTAAGTGGGCAGTAAGAAAAAAATGGAAGTGCAAGTCCAAGAGGTTGTCCTCTTGGAATAAATTGTAATAAGGATGATAAATTATAAGTTTATTTCAACTTCAACACCTCTAACAGCTGACCCAACAGTCCATATTTGGATATGCAAAACAGATGATATGGCCCTAACCATCTCGAAGCTAAAGGTTGTCAGGAGCCAGGATGGTGCCACTTGGCATTCATGTGGAGAATGCCCAGGCATTTGAGGCAGTTCTCAGACACTGTGGAGACCTTGGTGAAGGCCAACATTATGCACAATCTCATTAGCTGCTACAATGTCCATGAATTCCACAGCAGGCTGTTTAGCTAAGCCTAAACATGCAATATGAAGCTTCTCCTTGAACTGAGCTTGGAGCAAAAAAGGGTTTGAGTACGGAAACCTGTGATCTCTTGTCTCTGTCTACCCTTTCAATCAGCTCGACCGTGGGGAGAAATATCACTACGTGTTGTTTCTTGTAGATCTGTTATTATTATGTTCATGCTGATTCACATGTGACAATATGAGATATCTGGGTTATAGTCACTGGTGCTGAACACACAAATGTAAGAAAATACTATATAAAGGAATGAGAAGTAATGTCTTTTTCAAATGTCTTCTTTTCTTTTAACCAATGTAAGTCAACAACTGGACATTCATTGAACTTCTGAGTGCAAAACAGCAAAAAGTACAGCATGGCCCTTTGAAGCTTGAACTGATAACAAATTATAGTAACAAGGCAATTTTATAACGTATATGTTTCTTTAAAATCTGTAGAAGTCTGCTCACCCAGGCTCTTTCATCTTTCAGGCACAAATGTGTATCATCATTTTATTTTATTTTCATTTTCTCAGGGATTTTGCACTACAAATCTAATGGTGTTTTTCTGTGTTCTTTTGTACAGTAAATTGTTGTTTTCTGGCCTTGTGCTTCTAATGGTGTTAAGGATGGAAGGCAGATCAAACGCATCTTGTAGCCTTGGGTGCAGACTAGCTTCACTTCATTCATTAAATCCTAGTTAGTGTTGGTAACATGATTAACACAGATTATCACATCTCATTTATTTTGATATCAGTAGAAAAGCACTAAAATACTCATGACACATAATGAGATCTTTGGAAGCATATGCCTGGTATTACAATTATATAAACTGGGAATACTGGGAAGTTTTGAAATGATAATTAAATATATAAATTACATTGAAAAGCTCTCTATGCAGCAAAGGAATGAAAATGAAAAATTGTTCCAGTCAAGACTCCTTTAGACTCCTTTTCCTTTAGAATAAATTATCCAAATCCATTACAGTGTCTGGAAACACAAGGAGAGGATTCCCTCTAAATTTGCAGTCTCACTCTGTTTCATCTCAACACAGGAAGGTTCTCACAAAAGGTTTGTGGTCAGAAACACTGAGCCTGTGCAAATAAACTGTCATTTGAAATGAGTTATATTCAGCATTAAATCTGCAAAGATGCCAGCGAATATCTGCAGAACCCAAGGCATTAAATATTTACCAGCTGACAAAGACTGCAGAAGCATGGTTGTCTATATGAAAAGAGGATTTACTGTCAGCCAAGATACATGACTAGGCAGTAGCAGAACATCATTCATTCACTCATCAATTAGCCTCTTCCCTAACTCATTCCATAGATACAGTTTTGAATCATTGTGATTCAAGAGGAGCTCATGAGAGGAGAGGAAGAGAGCAAATCACTTCAGTTTTTAATTCCTAAAGATGCTGAGCTAGATATTTAGCAGTTTAAACTGTGTATGAGAGCCTGGGCTGAGTGATGAATGTTGCAGCTGAGGTTAAATTAGGTTAACTGAGTGTGAAGTGATCTCGTCCTGCCTGCTCAGGTTGACGCGGTGTAAACTAACGTCAGACATTGTGGTGATTCACTGTGTGTTTCTGTTAAGAGTTACCTGGTAAAGAAGAGTTCCCTCTGATCTGTTCATTTGTCACCAAAACCTACTTTTTGTTCGGAAGTGAAGGAAGGACTCGTGGCCATGGAAGAATATTTTTTGGGACAATGTTGCCCTTAATGTGACTATTATTTTGTCTTTTATTTTGATCACAAAGATATTGTAACTTGACCTCTTTTCTAGATTTGCACATTAGGTTTCCGGCAATACTTGTCCTACAATGTAGTTTACAGTGTGAATTTGTTTTTTTTAAAGAGATCCCAGCTTCATTGCAGAAACAGTGAAAAAACAAACATCAGCCACTCCAGCGGTTTTCTGCCAGAGCTGATACACTGTCAGCCCAGTGACGAATTCCTTTAGCAGGGACGCCAGACACTGGACAACACACCATCCCTCTCATACACACATACAAGAGACAGACTTTATTCTCCTCACTGACAGTGACAGAAATACTCGACAATATTCCCTTCAAAGCATATTAAATAATGCGATCTCCCTCTGTGAGACCACCTCTAGTGTTACAAACTTCAGCAGCCTCATTGGGACATGTGTCCACAAATCAAGTTAAATTAAGGATGTTATTCGATTAAAAGCCTTTTAGAGGAAACAAAGCATCTCACTACAAAGCTCTGTCCTCTATTCAGGTCAATAGTTTGCCTAAATAAGCTCCAACAGGCCTGTGATACATGTCCAGGGATTATATTTGTTCTTCTTGGATTTATGCAGGAGTGCAGCCAATATTTTAGAAATAAGGGACAATTTGTTTGTTTGTGATGATTTTGCAATAAATTTGATGTTCAAATGCAACCTGCAACATGCTACTATTGCATACTACTGTATAGGCTTAGGCCATTTAAATCTAGATTAAAAGTTACCCGTTATATAATGAATGCCAGCTTTATAGTTAATTAGTTGGCAGTTTTCCGACAAACTAATTGTATGAACCCTAAACATAGCCAGCTAAAAAGAAGCTGTTTCGTCTTTAATTTCTCACATTGTGGTAAAATATGTCTTTCTCTTTCCATCCAACATGGCTGCACTACTGGAGAAGAGCGGTAAGTTAAATAAATTATGATACCCAATAGAGTGCTGTGAAGTCTTATGAAGGCAGACATAATGATGAATTTTATATTTTAATATGATCAATGATGATCAAGGGCTAAATTTCAAAATGATCAAGCTAGCTCCTGTCCCAGAAAACTAAAAATGGATTTTGTCATAGAGGGTTTGTTGCATTGGTCTTACTGTAAAGTTGGAACTCACCGGGGACATATTCTAATCTAAATTAATATACTGCACTGTTTAGTAAAAAAATGTTGATACCTTGCTCAAGGCAGAGTGCTGCCAAATCCCAATGCGCAGTTGATGTTGGAAAAAGTGGGGGGCCAGATTTGCATTTTTCTTCTCTATCCCCTTGTATCCACTCCACACACTCCCACCAATTTTTGAATGGTGCAGCAAACTTCAAAACTAAAGCTGATCATAAGCTCTTTACACACATAGGCATTGCTCCATTTCCAAAGAGCCACAACAAAAACACTGCACTGTCTTAATACAACAGACTACACGCTGGTCGACACCAAATTGTAAAATTCACAAAGAGATGAGGGGGAGGAAAAGACATTTGCTTCATTGCACACGTATTGTTATTGGTTCCCTGTTAGACATGATCACACATTTCTGTCAGTACATATGACCTATATCTGTATTGGGTCTTTGTACTGCTGGTAATGTTTCTGTGATTGAGAAATTTCCAAGACTGAGACTGATAAAGTATTATTGTTACTATTACCTCTCTTGCTGATCTAATCATGACCGTTAATGGTAAAATGTTCCCACTTTTACTGCACGAGCGCTGAGCTATTATCCTATCCCACAAGGAATTTGGAAAATTCCTAAGCTGCTCTCTCAGCAGTCAGAAAGTAAAAGGACTGGTCTGAAAGACAATTATTTAAGTGTTGAACAGTAAATTACACATAATGACCACATTATTTCATACCTCATATCTATAAGGAAGGAATGAAAAATACTTGATGTGAGAAATGACTGCCAAAAGAATAGTGAATAAAACACTTGTGACTGTAACTAGGTCACAAAATTATGGTAAAACTGTTCACAAATCCATCTGCTCTGTCAGGAAAGTTTGCCGCGTGCAAATCATATGAGGCAAGACGGCTGCAACAGCTGGATGTCTGCTTCCAGGAACATTTATGGTCTTTCATCACGCTGCTCTAAACATTGATCACATGCCACTGAAGATTGGGCTCCTTCCTACACACCTTCATTATATTAAATTGGCTTCTTTGCGTGACCTCTTTATGATGCTTAGGATAAAAACTTGGTTGAGATCAGGATTAGTTTATAAAGGGTTAGCTGTCTTAGACTTGCTGGGACTTGAAAGTTCAGATGGGTTAAAGGAACAGTTCCTCAGTCTGGGAAATATGCTTCTTTTTTCTTGACGAAGATCTCCCTGTAAATATGATGCTTAGCTTAGCTTAGCACAAAAAAAAACATGTTCATTTTACAGGGGTGCTGCATACAATTTCTTGGCCAGGCAGAGTAAAATAGACAGACAGCCTAGATGTGCACCCAATTTTCCTGTTTTTTTTTCTTCTTTTTGCTAAGCTAAGCTAACTAGCCACTAGGAGAGTGGTATCAATCTTCTAACTTAATAATTGCAGTAAGACGAGCAAATAAGCATATTTCTCAAATATTAAGCTACTGCTAGGATGGTGAGGGACAAAGATGAACACAGTGGGAAAGATAAAGAGCAAGGCAGAGAGATCAATGGATGTATTGTTGATAAATGTGTTATAGGATCCTACCAGTAATGTAATTTAACCAGCTAACTATCTGACTAAATTAAGAATTAAGTTATGAATGTAAGCATATTTTATATGTTTTAGGATAAATACATTTCAAATTATGGCCCAAATCCAAAGCCTTTGAAAAGACGTATCTCCTGTATCAGGGTTCACCTATATCATTATGTAAATGGGTATGAATAAAGCCAGACAACATGAAACAAAGGGACATAAGACAAACTGAGGGTAAATATATGAATGATTTAAGAAGAGATGGTTCATTCATAAATTAATTAGTTCCTGAAATGTGCTGTGTACACTTTCTACATTCCAAACTCTGAGAGCATCTCAGATATATAAACCTACATCTGTGTGTATGCCCACACAAACGTGAGCTCTTTTTTATCTTCCTTTCTCACACACAGGCACACACACAGAGCAGTGACAGGCACAATCTTAATTTGTGTGTGGTGCCTCAGCTTCCAGCCCTCCCAAGCGTAACTGCCAGACAACATCACAAATACACTCTCCACTCTGACGATGGTCCAAAATAATGCACAAGGCTCAAGATCTGACTGAATGTGACAGTTACTTTTTATCTCTCTGTCATTTTTCTTTTTCCCGTGGTGAAGTTTAAGTCTCCACATATATAGATATAATGTTGTAACACACTATTTTACTTCTATTTTTGTCTCTCCACTGTTTCTTCCCACTTATCCTCTCACCTCTCTCATCCTCCCTCCTTTGTTTTTTAAGATCAACATGTCAAACCCATTTGGTTTTGTTAGAGTCCTTGCAGAGTTGTTATTTCTGACATGGGGCTGTGATGGATTTGCACACAGAGCTAATAGTATGAAATGAAATGAGCTTGCACGATGCCAGGTGCCCAGAGTGATGCAAGAGCCAACAGGCATTCATGTGGAGCAGCGCTGTACTCCCCCAGGCCCCTCAAGTCAAGCGATGCTTTGTAATCCCTCACTCAATTACCTCAGTCAGTGTATTGAAAGAGCAGTTGAAAGGTTGGTGCTGCCTCCGCATCTGCTCTTTTCTTCAAACTGAGCTTCCCTTGCTTTAAGACCATGATTGCCTTTGCCTAAATGGCCTTTGTTGATGGCACTGGCATCTTCCAACGTCTCTTTTAAATTATTGAATGTCTGACTTCTCTTTTGACTAGCTGAAATATTGTACAAAACAGTATTTGTGCATGCATTAAGTAAAGATATACGCATATTTCATTTAGCATTTTTCCGGTTTCCTCCCTCCACATTTGAAAATGTTTGCTCTGTTATTGTTTAGCATTACTCTGAAAATTAGAGCTGCAACGATTAGTTGATTAGTTGTCCACTATTAAATTAATCACCAACTATTTTGATAATTGATTTATCACTTTGAGTCATTTTTTAAGAAAAATGGCCAAATTCTCTGATTTCAGCTTCTCAAATGTGAATGTTTTAACATTATGACAGTAAACTGAATATCTTTGGGTTGTGGATAAAATGAGATATTTGAGGACATCCCCTTGGGATTTGCAAAACAGCAATCAACATTTTTCACATTTTCTTGACATTTTATGTAGCAAACAACTAATACTGGTGAAATTAATCGTTTGCTGCAGCCCTACTGAAAATACTCACTTCTATTTGTGTGTAGATATGCTAATGTCGATGCTGATAACTCTCTCATGCAGCTGTAATTTACATCATGTAAAGACTCATGCTGTGACACAGATTAGAGACATAAAGCAGCAGAAAAGTTCATGATACAATGACTATTGTCAATAAAATGGATACCAAAGGGTTTCTGTAAATGTAGCATGATTCAGAAACAACATTACTATGCTGTTAGTGTCTGCAGCACTATGATAATTGTCTAACATATGTGTCTGGAGTTTATCTCTTTGGTAGTGTTAGGTAATGTTTGGTAGGGAAGAAGTCCCTTACTAAAAGTTTTCATTTTTTATGACTTTTTATTAGAAACTTCTGTATTCTATAATCATTTTTTTGCATGTCTTGCTGTTCAGTTTCTTCATGAATACTATTTTGTACTGTGCTTATTCAAGATGACAGTTTACCTTTAACACATTTCTAGTGATCTTGCCAAAAGAGTTTGGGATGATGAGCAGAACGGGACTGGTGGAGTGACTGGAAGTCCTGCGTCGTTTCTGGTAGGATGGCACAGCCCAGTCCAAGGCCACCAGCCCATCATCGCTCAGCTGCAGGTTGTCCCGCACAAACTGAACCGGGCTGTCATATGGCCAGCACGCCTCGTACACGCTCTGCAGGAAGGCGCTGGCCCGCCACGTCCACCCCACACACGGCGAGTAATTGCTGAAAGTCCTGCAGTGTTTCAGGAGATAGTTAGCCAGCGCCGACGGCTTGCAGATCAGTGCCACGGTGCGTGCTTTCTCACCGGTCCCCACACAGGCCGTCTCCTCTCGGTCGGAGACGCACCTCCCGGTGTTGTCCTTCGTTGCCTGTTGTGAAATCCCCAGTCCTCGAAGCAAAGCATCCGATTGGCTCTCTGTGCCAAAATATTTGGAGCCTGGCCAGATTAAGACCACCAGGATCACAATGAACAGAGCCACAAGCCATTCTAGCATTGGCACGTTTGGAGGGGGCGGCGGGAGGCAAAATGAGCACAACACAAACGCTTTCCACACCTTGTTCTAGATCTTAAGTTGATAATTATAAATTTACATTATAGGAAATAGTCCACGGAAACATGCTCAGTCTTACAGTGTGTCCTAAACTGATGCTCAGCCCGTCAGTGAAGTTTGGTTCTTTCCTACGGTGCCAAGGCGCACCAGTCCCTCGTCGCTGTATCCGTGCTGTCTCAGTTACGCAGCGTTTCTGTTGTTCCAGCTCATTCTAAAACGGACTTCATGTTTCTTTTTTTGCTGGCACTGTTTAATAAAGGAGGAGATTCCGTCCGTGTTTCGTGCATTCAAAGCCAGCTGGTACAATAACCGAGCCTGTGCAAGACTGCGCTCAGCCGGTGCTTCAACCCAACAGCTGAGAGCGCAGGAAATATCTGCGAGCAACGCGCCGCTGCTGGAAACGCCTCATGCCATCATGTCCAACCCCCTCAGAGTGAGCAGGTACTCCGTGCGCGACATAATCTCTGGTGTTATTAGCCCTCCCCTTAAAATACTTCCAGTACACCCAGTACAAGGGGGTACAGCTACAGCCTTTATTACACGTAGACTGTCCCCCTCAGTAGTCATCTCTCTCTCTCTCTCTCTCTCTGTCTCTCTCTCTCTGTCTCTCTCTCTCCTGCTCTTTTTGTCAGGCGCTACAGACAGACAGAGACCTGTCCCTAGAAGTGTAGTGCGCATGGCCATTATCAGATCTGGTATGAGTGAAATCCTTCCGAATACATTTGGCTAAATGGCCCGCAAAATCAGAGAGAGAAAGAGATACAGTGATCTACAATGAGGGGGCTTTATATATATATAGTAAGGCAACCTGTTAAGCAGGTTTCTGTTATGTCACAAACAGCTCCAGGTTGGCTCAGTGTGTCTGTTTTGTGACTGTAATTTAAAAGAAAGGGTGAAAGTAGGCCAGTGTTCTTTGGATGTGCAGATTGTGATGCACAGTGAGTGCTGCAGACATCCAGTTTGATTCAGGCCTATAACATTTGTGTAATGTGATAACCTCCTCTCTGCTTTTTCCCCCAACCCCTCCTCTTTATACTATCTATGAAAGTCAAACAGATGAAACCATTCCTTTAAATGCAGTATTCATTCATAGCTAAAGCAAGACACAAGCATTTGAACTGTGTATCAAATATGTTGGAGGTTCTTCTCCTCTGTGTGAAGGACAAGGCATTTAAACAACAGGCTAAAATATAATTTTTTAAAATCACATTATTTTAAGCTTCACATTTAAAGGCACAACAACTGCCACAGGTTGAAGCCACAGTTGTTGTTGTTGTTGTTGTACATTATTCAAAGATCCGTGGAACATTCAGTTAGTCACAAACACACTTCAGTGCTAATCAAGGTTGATAGATTTCATGGAAAGCTGAAGCTTTGCCATCTGTTTTTGAGGAACATATTGTTTTGGACACGAATTTAACCGACAGCAGTACAACAAAGCACTGCGGCATGTTGAACATAAATTGATGGCAGTGTGGACCAGTGGTGTGGGGAAGCGAGAGAAAACAAACCTAGACTGAAAGTGACAAGACAGTAGATCATTGTGTAAATGTGTTCCAATTTTCAATGCCATTCCTGTGGATTAGCCAATGGAAAGTGAAAACAAATGGCAAAATGCGAGATGCCAAGCCAACGAGCAGTGAATAAAGACAAATGAGTGGATTGAAGGATCCTCAGTATCACCTCAGAGACACTTTGGATGCCAGAGCAGAACAGCTTCCAGCTGGTGCACTGGAGAGCCGGGTGGGGGAAGTTGTGTTATGTTAATTTACCCTGTATGCAGTTCCAAACACTGATCATGACACACTCCCCTTTTGTCCGTGACAACCCTCTCTGTTGTTGCAGCCCCCGGGAAAGGTAATCACTAACTATGTAATCTTAGAAGCTCTGTAGTGATCTATAAAACAGTTTGAATATTAACCCTAATAAGACATGTGTACACTTAATTCCAAGAAATATTATTCACTTAACATTGATTCAATGCCCTTCCAGTCTGGGAAATGTTTTCTTTTCTAAAATGTTCTGAAAATAATAATATTTTACCTGCCTGGCTGAGACAATATCATACGCCAAATTTAACAAAAACAGCCTTGAGTTCAAGAGGTTTAATGATTATTATTCTTGTTGTATGATAGATGTTTTTGGTTAGTCTGAGTTCCAGGTGGAGCTAGATTTTCTTTTCTAGGGATTGTCATATTGGCTTTGATACGATCAAATCTTAGCCAAAGCTTAATCTTAGCCAAATGAAAGTGACTAAGGGGAGCACAACCAGTTCAAAACATTATCTCATATTTTGGTGTAGAACTGACTATGGTTATATTTTTTGGACATAAATCTAAGGAGACACAGAATAACCAGGATTACATTAAATTAAATCACATCACGAATGATCATAGGCCAGCTACATTTGAAGGCTTTCAAATGGGAGATCACTTAGTCTTATAGTGAAATATAGTCTCTGACACCTGTACATCACATGTGCATTTGTTTTATCTTTTTATAACACATTTTAAGTAAAATGTGTTTCTCACCCATATTGATAGAAGTTTAATATCCCATCTCACTGATCTAATTTGTAATCAATTGAAAATAGATGTCAAAGCTCTGAGGTTTTACTTTTGCAAATTTCTCCAGTCCCCTGAAAATAAAAAGTGAGGAAACAAAAGAAGACATTACTGTTGAAGTCATCCAGATACAATCTGTGTTCAAACTCAGTCAATGCTTCCAAAAAGGTCACAGGAAACAAAGAAACATGTGGAATACAATAATACAGTTTGCATTGATAAGAGGAGACGAGGAGGAAAAAGGTCAACAAATCAACTTGAACTTTGGGACTAGATCACAGAAGCGACTAGATTCAAAATGCTTTGGGCTGACCAGGTTGGACGATATATATCTCAGGACAACCCGGTCAAAGACCCTTGTGTCATGCCCTCCGAGAAAATATCACAAAGGTTGTCTCAAAATAAACAACCACTGCTGTACTGGGTTTGAAGACCCTGACCCTCATCTTTAGTTTTGTTGACAGTTGAAAAAGGCAGACAAACAATTGGTTGGTAGGACAAATAGATGGTAGAGACAATAGAGGGTAGTCATGTTGGTCATTCATTAAGCCATATTTAAGCTAACAAATGTACAGTAAAATCTTTAGGGGAGAGGTAGTCAACACTGTCAGTATTTAGTAACATGAACATTTCTCAGATTAGACGCATTTAACCATCAAATGAGGGAGAAGATAGATAACATGCACATAAGTAGACGAGGATTCTTTGTATTCATTTTATTCAAATTAATGCTGAACTATTCCCTTGGTGCACGAAAGATGTGAAGAGCCTAACCCAGTAACCTTCCCAGTCGGATGACAAATGCACAAACCCTGGATGCACAAACAAAAACACATACACACATGCACACCTAAATCTGCAATCAAACATTGTGCTTTGACATGCAGAATCTGATCCCAGGAGTGCTGACTGAATAGGAAAAGTACTGGTCCCAAATAAAGACGTAGCCTAGAGGTTGCACTTTCTCTCACTAGATATTTAATGAATGCAGTCTCCTGCTGAAATTTACACATCGTCACTGTGGAAGAGAAGGCACAACCAGTGTGAAGAAGCAAATAGAACAATAAAAATGTTTTACTATGACAGGATAAAACCAAAATCTAAATTGGCTCTGTGGGGAATATGCTTATTTGATTTCTTGCCAAGAGTTAGATGAAAAGATTTATTTATATTTATATTGAAGCTACAGAAACTCCTGTAGGTTAAACTAGGCTAAGACACTTTTAAGGCTGACTAACTCTAAAAGACAGACTTAAAAACTTACTGGAACTAACTTGCTAGCAACATTTAGACTACAAACAACCCTTAACAGTTTAATTAGTGAGCTTTAGGGCCATGTTTGGTCACATTTGGACAGAACTATAGCTTTTCCCCACTGTTTCTAGTCTTTATGATAAGCTCCTAACTGGCTCCTGCTAGCTTCAGCCACATATTTAAGGTACAGACATGAGTCTGGTATTGCTCATGCATCAAACTTTCAACAAGAGTGCAAAAAAAGCAATAAGCAATTTGTTTTTAAGCACAGCTGGTTACAGTATGAATTTAGCATCTAATATGACAATGTCTAACTCACTGAGCTCAACTGAATAACATCAGCCACATTTTAATGTGCCCATTATCACAAGTTTACAGTGACACACTGAGACAAAAGACTATAATCAGGTTACTAAAAGTGAACAGGAACAAGCTGGAGAAAAGAGGAGGGAAGAGGAGATGACATAGAATCCAAGACAGAGAGCCTCATGACTCATGGGTTATGTGCTTAGATCTAATTTGTGGGCCCAACCGAATAGCCCTCCTCAACATTTTAAATAAATTATTGCTTCCTCGGTAGGGATGCAAACCAGCTGTGGTCATTTGGGAAGATTGCCAGTCGATTTATTATTGAGATTCTGAAGTCTGAAGCCATAATGTTTCAGTACATAGACTGCTCTGCTGGTCTCACTGTGTCCTTCTCCTTCCATCTCTCCCTCCTCCCGTCCACTCCCTCTTCTCTTTCCTCTCGAGGCTCAGCCCCTCATGCCCGGTCACCATGGCACAGCCACAACCTTTAACATCAAAACAAACAGTGACTGTGCCACGGCTTCAAACAGATTACTGTAATTCAGGGAAAGTGGAGCAACATCTTGGCTCCGACGTGGTTTTGCTTCTCTCCTGACTTGTGTTGGATTGTTTTAGGGGTAAACTTGGTACAAATCAGTCCTCCAACCTAAGCAATTACAAAAGGAGAAATGTTACAGCAGGTTACCTCTCACCCAACCTTTGTAAGTGCAACCATATGCAGAACTCATATCTAGGTTGGCTTTAACGTTTTCAAACCTCAACATCTATTTATGTGGTGTTGCAGTATATGTCCTTCCCTTGAACCCGGACTATGACGTAGGTCTGCTGTTGACTGACTCATATCCACAATCAAACAGATGTGTCCACTTCTTCTCTGGGTGAATATTTGATGAGTGGCAGTGTGCCAGGAATGCTGGACAAACAGAAACAAATCCAAACAAATGTCTCCATTTTCACACTCTTGCTTTGATAACATCAGTAAATCACATCTGAATTCAGAGCATAAACATTGTCTTCTACAAGTGCCACAAAGAAAAAATATATCAAGTTAACAGCAAGTCACAAGTAGCCCATCCAGCCACAGTGTTGCTATTACCACAGTCTTGTAAATTGACACAACCACTTCCTCAGTAGCAGCCTTCCTGATGCCCCATTTAAAGTTTCTGTGAAATCGAAATTAAGCCGAGGTATGAAACCTACAAGTGAAACTTTCTCATAAACTCATGAAAGGATGTAGCTAGCTCAGTCAAGGTAGAGACAGTCAAGGTAAAGATCTTGTAAAAGCCACCGAGTCAACCTTGAACTTTACTTTTGAATTGTTTACAAGTGAGGTTTGGCCCAAGTGTTTATCATAAGTAATCTCTAATGGCATAACTTGATATGCAGTATAATCTGAAATATTGGCAGAGCAAGAGCAGCAGAAGTAAATACCCAGTCAACTGCCAACTCCTTAAGCCCTGTTCT